TGAATCGCGGCGTCTCAACTCTCGGCATTGCCGGTGAGCGCGGCCACAGGACGCGGTGCAGCGGATAAAGCGATCAGTATGTCAAAGAGAGTTAACACCACAGCCTTCTTCATATGTGCAAGAAAGATAACGCGACGACACCGACGGTAGAAGCGTTCCTTTTGAATTTCATTTTGTTTTTCTCCCGCTTATGTTTGTTATTGTAAAAGACATGAAGTACCTACCTATCATAAGTCAAAATATCAATTTCAACGAGTGTATTTTGTGTCAATCAAGTAATTAGGAAACGGTACAGAGGGTCACAAAAGAAGCCGTACCTACGTTTCCTGTTTCAAGCATGTATTGTCATTGAGAAAGGCGATCGTTATTCCATAGCTCTTACGGCCAATTTCATAATCAACTTAAAGTAAACTTTCCATTTGAAGTTGAAAAATCCTATCCTATAAAGTCTATTTAGCTAAAGTAACTTTTAATTCTCTATTATGAAATTGGCCGTTAGATATTATGCTGACAAAAGAGAACTGTTTTTATCATTAAATCCTGTTTATCACCCTAAATTCTAAATGTAGACAAGCTTATACCAGGAAAGCCTACAAGAAAAGACCTGAACCAGAAGAAGGTGCTTCAAAATGTACTAGTAAGCGAATTAAATCCTCTTATTCAAAGATTTGCATAATATGCAATAAAATTCGCCATAGTAGGGGTTTGAGAATTTCATTTGATAAGCAAAATGAAATATATGGAACATGGCAAAAACAACCATCAACTTTTGCATTGAATTCAAGGATTTGGTAATAATTGTACTGACATGATTGCTCACGAATGTGCATATCAATCGTATCATAGTCTGTGTTTCTTGAAACTATTCCAAAAATCAAAATCAGAAGTAAATTCCCTACAAGAATCTGAAGTACTTTCGTTTGGAACTATTTTTATTAAAATTCAATCTTATATAGAAAATGCCCTATTTATAGAAAATAGGGTCTTCACAATAGAAATCATCCTACATAGGGAAGCAAGGAAGCAAAGTTATGGAACGTTGAGTGAACTGCACAATATCCATCGTCAGAAGAGATTATCAATAACCTGCAAAGTCTTTTTAAGAGAACAATTATGGTTGTTCTCCGAGATTGAAAACTTTCAAGTTATCTTTGCTCTACTAAAATAATTATCAATAAACAAGACGCTGTAAGGAATTCAAGTTCTTCAAATTCTGACGCTGACGCCACATCTTTCAATGAAGGCCATTTTCCTTATAAACTATAATCAAATGTTTAATATTTAAGGGCGGATTATTGCAAATTGTGCGCAGCAAGACACTTTGACAATTACTGAAGAATGTGCATCCTTATATCATACCAAAGTTATTATACAACCTTTTTCGTGGATAATTACTGAGAAACTAGTGAAAAAGAAGTAAATTTTGACAAAGATTGAAAAGTTCTGTTGGAAGAGAAGCTTGAAGAAAAGGTTTTGGATATTTGTCAAGATTTATTATTTGTATTAATTGGAATGAAAACACCAAAACATGTGGAATTAGCCATTTACTACAAAATTTTGAATTGAGCGTGATGCTTTGTTTTAAAAAAGAAATCTTGTTGCTATTATTTTTTTACTGACATTAATTGGATTCCCTAGAAATAGATTCCATATTTGGATATAATTAATAAATAAATGGAATTTTTATACCTTTTATGTGACGTTTTTTTTTTTTTTTGCCTTTTTTGCCAGTGTTTGTCTGAGAGAAAATGCTTTGTGAAATAAATATTGTTTTTTATACTTGTAAAAAAAATTATTATTAATATTTTTCCTATTCATATTGTTTCCCAACCCAACCAAACCCATAAATCCCCCATTCCCCTATACTCCCTACAATATTATAACAATATCGTAATGCGTGTCTTTGTTGCACGTATGAAGAAAGCTGTGGTGTAAACTCTCTCTGACACACTGATTCGCTGCACCGCGTCGGCCGCAGTCTAAGATCGCGCTCACCGGCAATGCCGAGAGTTGAGACGCGGCAATTCAATTTTATACGGTTTTTAAAAAATAATACAGCCCAAACTAAACGTCGTATGGAAAACCAGTTTCAGTAAAAAAGTTTCTTTACTCCATTGGCAATATTTTTCTCGCTTATACTTGGAATCTATCTCTAAAGATAAAAAAGTTTTCTCGACTCACCATTTAACGCTGCAAAATGACGATATTTGTGTCATCTGGCGAAAAAAAAAAAATTACGTAGCTTTTATGTGATGTTCTATGATTTTTATTGTTATGAAACTATGTCAGGGAAGTACTGAAAAATATCATATCCAAAATTCATAACAATCGGACATCAATTCACAAAGTTATGCACTGGTTTTCAAAAAAAATTATTTCAATGGAAATTTCCCTCGTGCAAATTACACTGGAAATTTTGCATACAAATTGTCAAAATTAATAAGTGAAAATTTTTGGAAATATCCCGGGGAAAATTTCCAGAATTGTCATTTTTGAAATTGTTGCCCGCTTTTCCATTTAAAACGCATTGATGTCAGAAATCTGTCAAAGTATATATTTTTGACAAACAAAATTTAAATGGAAAAGATCAATAACAATCAGCATCAATAAAAAAATTCGACACAACGTAGTAAATAAACTTCAAACTCGGGAAATTTCCTATCAAAATATAACACGTGCATAAAATATTTCCTAAGGGAAATTTTTAAAAATATCGTCTTCAGCCAATTTTTTTAAACAAAACCATTCGTGCATAGCGCCAAAGAAAAAATCCCTCACCCTTCGGGTTCGGGATTTTTTCAGGCGCTATGCACTCATGATTTTGTTGAAAAATTGGCTTCAGACAAAATTTTCAAAAATTTCCGGAAATATTTTATGCACTAGTTATATTACTACTTGAAATTTTCAGTTTTTTCAAAAATGTCATGTTTTGACACATTTCGCAATTCCGGATCAAAGGGCGAACAAGAAATTCGAATCCGGCAGGTCATTTTACATAGGATTTCATGTTTTTTAGGCGGATGTTCGCGACTTGTATAGAGCACCTCAGATTCCCGACTATTACATTCGACATAACCAAACATATAAAGTGTTGGATGTTCCAATGCAAAAATTTATTAAAATATAAAGTCCAAGTATATATAATTAATTTTTTTAATTTTTATCAAGTATGCATAGGTACCTATCAGTTTTTTGAGAACCACATTAAGTGACAAACCAATTTTTATTACGATACACAAAATTATCATAGACATAAAAGCTGGAAAAACATACAGGGTGATTCACTGAACTTTTCTTTTCACAACACTAATTAATTAATAATCAGCTACCATCAGGTCCAGGTAAAAAAAACCCGAACTCCAAAAACTAAAAAGCAACAAACACAAAGTAATTCTAAAACCCACGTTCTGCACGCAATATCCAATGGCAAAATAGGTAGTACAGAAAATATATTAAAACGTTATTCAAGAGCCAGAAGGTCAGACGGACCAGAAGCTATGTGACTAATGCGATGCGAGGTTAGAGGTTAGGGTAGTAAAAAAAAAACAGCGTCCGTTCCGTAGAAAATTAATTGAAACTTCTAATCGACAAAAAGTTGAGATATAAATTGAATGTAGCTATCCGACGTTTTTTTGTACTTCACCCTGATGTTCATATGAAATATACTATACAGGTTTTTGGGCGACATCTCGGTGGGACAAGCCACCGATATACGTAGAACATATCCAGTTTATATTCTACAGAACGCAAGCTGCAATATTGCCAGTATGTGCAAATAGAATTCAGATATAGTCCCTTAAATTATAAATGTCTCTAAAATCTCCTGCGAACGTCCCAACGTAATATAACCAATTAAAGAACAGGCACGAGACATCTCAAAGTCGAAATTAGAATTCTTCAGTAGGTATTTCTTTACATTGTAACATAACAATATCTGCAGGGAATTTAGAAAGAACATCGCAAAAACTGCCTGTAGATATTTCGTGCTTGCTGAGAAATTAGCAGTATTAGAAGCGATCTTTGCTTATCCATTTATTTTTGAGATCAGTGGGACGGGCAAAAAAGTCTGTTATTTTCATTTCGCTTAGGAGCTTTTACATTGTCGCTATCGTTCAAGAAATATAACTCGCATTGTGGGAAGTTTTATGCTCGATATATCTGAATCAACCAACAAAAGAAAAATTTAGAGACAACAATTTTTATTAACTATGAGCCTTTTCGCGTTTTCACATTGCTTAGGTGCAATTGAGGGTAAGCACATTCGCATCGAATGTCCAACTTGGACAGGACAAGAACAATGTTTTATTATTGTAAGCAATATTTTTCAATCGTACTGCAAGCAGTCAGCGATGCTTACTGTAGATTTATATTTATTAAAGTAGGGGCATAACACATCTATTGAACATACCTGCTGCGTAATGCTTATCGAATTCTAATATTATATTAATTAGCCATGAAGCATCCACTGTTGACGAAATGCATATGCCAAAAACAATTTAAATTAGGAAAATGAGCTATTCGACACGCGATTGTCAAGTGCACGTCGTAAAACTGTTGAATACAATAATAGAATGGAGAATATTTACTAAGAGTATTGAGTCCAATCCTGACCTCGCTGATGCAATTAATAAGGCCGTTTGTGTTCAACATACCTAATATAAACTAGATAATACCTTCATATATAAAGAAAACAGCATACGTAATGTTTCGGAGGAAACATCAAACGACATCGGACTCGTAAAATTGAAATAAGCAGGAGAAACAAACGCGCTAGAACAGAGGCTGTTTTAGTCAGAAATGTATGTATATAGACTATTTTGTTATTACCTACTCACAACATGAACTAAATATGTATTAATTTTTGTTATGAAAATCCAAATTCGCCTTATTTACAATAAAATAATACCTCCCATTTCAAAAATTACCTTTCGAAAAAAGCCGGTAATTTCACATACAATAATTATTGCAGGTTATTAAAATCTACTATTTTTATTATTTACCTGTAATTTCACATGTAGATGCGACTTGATTCCAACACTCTTTCAAAATATATCTGTTATAATGTGCTTTCTTACTTCTATCCCACAATGCTGGTTTTTGGAAAACCGCACTAATTATTTGCTCTTTTTTTCTATCCATATTGGAAAAACATTAATTCGCTTACTACTTACTACGAACGTGGAACTCAATAAACTGCAAGAAACTGAAAAGAACAGCGGTCTATTCCAGAAAGCGGTTAAGGGGTTTGAATACGCTGTTTTAAATATATTTTAAGGCACGTCAAAAATTTATAGCTATTAAATCACCCAACACGTTAATACTAATAAAGACAGGAGGTCCATCAAGTGCATTGCATTGGGCTGCTGTTGGCGTAGATTGTCGGCGGTTTGAAATGTATCGCAAAATAGGCAGCTATAGGGTTTGCTATAGGCATAACAGAGATAGACGAAATGACCAGAATAAATGAAAAAATACACAAAAACAAATAAATAATTTCTGAAATTCTGGTTTATGGTTTACGTCATTGTATTGCTAAAACATACCTACCTATAAGATTGACGCTGATTCAAAAAAAAAAACACAATAAATGTATTAACCTCCTAGTTTTTTTCCAGTTTAAATAATTTTTCGAGAACATGTTTCTATTATCGGTTTCCTAAAACCAGACTTTGCTAAAACCTTAGCGCCCTTCGTCTCTATAATCAAAGTCTCTATAATATTAGGTATAATCGGATGCAAAAAAGAGGAATTCAAAACAACTTCAACGTTAATATTAAGAACCCAATGCATTTTTTGGAGGAGTAGGTATTAACAAAGTCTCAAGGTCAGAAATCATAAACCAGTCAGAATTTCCATTGGTTGAAACTAGTTTTCTGACTGTTTCCAACCAATGAAATTCGCTCTGACTGGGTTTGTGATTGTTGTGCGAACAGATCTTTATAGGGGAGAAAAAATACAAAGATAGACTTCGTTAGATGCTTTTCGCAGAAAAAAATATTATGTACTGAGGCGCATTTGATCCCCTTATTTCAAGAAAATTTGACTGTGAGATGGCCAATCAAAGAACGAGTTGCAGCCAACTGCATCCCGAAAAACAAATTATTTTGTTTACGAATTTCCGGCGAGATGCCAGGTGCACGGCGACATCGCTTTGCACGTACATACGTGCAAAGCTTTAACATGTTTTGTTGTACGTATGTATAGACAAAAACTTATTTTTCACCCTAAGAAGCATTTCTGCACGTGCGACAAATGCGTAATTCCGTGAGTGCGTAAGAACTGATACACTGCTTTACAATTAATTAAATAAATAAAATATCTGTTATCTGTTGCAAGCCTATAAATGATATGGAATAGTCAATAGTCGATAGTCCCGAGGATCAAAGCACTAATAAAGCTAAAGCTGGCTATTCAGCGAGGCAATATTAGCCAAGCTATTCAGATGGCCAACAGAGCTGTTGTAAGTACCAAGAAAAAGTACTTAAGTATTAAGTACAAGCTTCTTTTTCAATACGGATCAAGTACCAGTACAAGTATATACAGAAGTAAATACTTAAAATATCAAGTAAATTGACTTGAATTGTTCAAATTCAAGTACAAGTACCAAATTCCAAGAAAGTTAGAGTTAAGTTTAAGTATTTACTTAAACTTGCGTACTTGAAATGATATTCACGTAGAAATACTTCCAAAAATAGTTTAAGTATTTTTTGTTTCAAGTATCGTTCGAATTAAACTAACAAATTAAATTATTGCTATCGATAATCTTAAAGAGGGTGTGGGTGTGACTAAAAAATAAAAGTTTTAGAAAAGTAAAATCCAAGAACACGTTTTTAAACCGCACTGCGCTACGACCAACCGTTGCGAAGATACCGTGGTATAAAGTTCCTAGGAGTGGGAACTGTGACGTCATATGCACAAACTGAGTCCGACAACCGGCGCTGGAACGCGTTTTCTGATTCTTGCTGCATATATTAGCTCTGTTCCAATCGACATGAGAACCATTCCAGAACCATTAATTTCCAGTTGCTCACCTGTTGAACGTTTATCCTACTTGACAAATTAATCTACCGTTCTAGAACGTTTCTCATGTCGGTTGGAACAGAGCTAATTATCGACAGTATCGTATTGTTTTTGCGTTCTCACACCTATTGCTGCGTCAGTTTAAATAGGTTTTGCAATTGTTGCGTGTGTTTATGACGTCACGTGATGAATGGACAAAACTTTATTTAGTCGTCAAGTAAATTTCGAAGTATTTAAAAATACTTCAATTAAAAATATTTACTTCAAGTAATTTCACTGGTACTTATAAGTGATTTAATATCACTTAAGTACAAATTTTCAAAAGCTTTCAAGTAAAATATACTTGACGGATATTTCAAGTATTAATTGCAAGTAAAATTCGAAAAAACTTGAAATTGCAAGTACAAATACCAATGTTTGGATAAGTACTTAAGTCAAATACTTAAGTATATTTTTGTACTTAAGTATTTACTTCAAGTATTTAAAATACTCAGTACAACAGCTCTGATGGCCAATGATTTATGAAGCTCCTTGTTAGTGATCTCTTGCCAGAATATTTTATTCGTGCAGAAATCTCATAAACCAGAGGCTTTGCTTCCTCACTCCAAGGTCCCAAGGTTTCTACACTAGAAGGAACAAAAACAAATTTACCCACCAATAGGTTTCTTGCATGAATTTTTTTTATTTGCTTATTGGAAAGAGGAGTCAAAATTAAGCTCAACTATATTTTTTTTTCGATTTTTTTCGGACTTGCAAAGGCTCTAAATTTCGACTTGAAGTTCAAATTTCTGATTAGTCAGTTTTATCCAGTGTTGCCCAAATGTTATGGTTTTCATGTAAACTTTTCCTGGCGGGGACAATTAAATCGATATATCGAATCCTCGAATCCACAGATTTGTAAGTATCGGACGGAATATGAAATCGATTCTCATTCCTATGGAAAACTTAACCCAACTTTTTAATTCATTATAATTTATATTTATTTTTATTTATTTATTATTAGCCTGTCCAAAACTCCAAAGCAGGCAGGCCATTATGTCGTTCATAATTGAATACATTAGGTACTAATTTTCTAGTGTGTGCGTCTAAATTTTTCTACCCCAATAAGCATATAAGGGAATCATTGTTTGGAGAAGGTTGCTTTACTCCACCTGCATTTTACTAATACCTACCTACCGAGTACCTAACCTTCATGTGAATTTTTTTCCGAAAGCATATCCATGCTCATCGCTGGTCAGTTTCCAGAATCAACTTTTACAAACCCTTTTCCATCCTCCATCACACAAACAAAATAAACAATAATTACCTAACTATTAAAATTATTATAATTTTTCTTTTAAGTGGTTTATGGAAAATAAAACACGAGTATAATTTTTATGTGTCTGTATTCCATACCTTCCAGTTTCCCTAAAGACCTGTTTTAATTTTGACAGGCAAAAACAACCTTTTTCTTTGAATTACACTGCCCCAGCCTGCTGTTTTTTATTGTTAATTATTGTTTGTGATGAAATGGATGAACCGGGTTTGTAAAAGCCAGGGGTCACTGACCTAATAGTAAACAAAAATCGCTTTTATCGTTTTCGTACTTTATACTGTGCCGGATTAGTACAGATACCGATTTCTTTGTTTAATTCGCATTTATAGACAAGGAAAAAAAATTGTCGATACTAATCGATACTTCAATTAATAGATGTCGTTCTTCTTTTTCAAGTAGGGTTGTACCAAAGTCGATACGCATGATTTTGATATATTATATGCCTCCTTTTTTGTCCGATGTGTTAAAAAAGAAAAAAAAAAAGATTCGTTTGGAACATGGAAATTTGACAATCAGTAATTTTTGATTGTGCAAAAATATGGCGCAAAATTCAAATAATCTGCTTTTTTTTCTTTCAATTTCTGGCTTCAAGATTTTTTAAAAAATTAACCAACCATACTTTTACGTAGTACAAAATACACTTTCGTTACAGATAAATTATATACCTACCTAATTTTGATTGAGTGCAAGAGGTCTATTCCTTGTATTCGCGTCTCTTCTGTTGCTCCCTAAGAAAAGCTATCTCCTCACTCCTCAGCTTTGTTGCTAGTTCTGTAGATGCAGCTTTCAGCGAAGGTGTCTCTATACACGATACATCTCATATTCCTCGTTAGGTGTAGAGTTTGTTACATGTTGCATAGTCTGCCTAAAAATAAGAATGACTTAGGAAACCTATTTTTTTGCTAAACAGCATGGTGAAGATCTTGAAAAATATGACAACTTAGGTAGGTGCAGCTAAAGAGTTCTTTAGATGGAAATAAGCCAATTGAGAATTCAATGTTTTCAAATTTTTACATATATTTTCTATTTTTTGGACATTATTCCTGTATGTTCAATGCAATTTGATGACAAGGGAGTTCTAGGTTTGAAAAATCGCATTTTTTTATATTTTCTGAAAGATTTTCAAAATCTGATATTTTTTCATTCAATTTAGAGTTCTGCTGAAAAAATAGTTCGCATTTATTAGAATTAATTTTCAGTCCTAAATTTTCAGATTCTCATAGTACAATTTACAGCTAGGGACTAAAGTGGTACTTTTTAATTCCGAGACAAAAAGTTTATATGTATAATTTTTCGACGGATTAAAAAACACTTTAGTCCCGAGGTGTATACACTATTCTAGGCACTTTACTTTATTTCCCGGGGATTTAATAAAACAGGGAATAAAAGGGTACTTTTATTCCCTCTTTCATTTAATCCCCGGGAAATAAAGTGGAATTTAATCCCAGGGATTAAAAGACCCACTTTACTCCCTTGAAACAGGATTAAAAAGGTACTTTTAATCCCTGAAGTGCATAAAATAATATTTTTGGAATCTTGCAAAACTGTGTCACTAGGACCTCCTAAACTACCTTCATCTAGGTACCAGGTATTAGGACCACAATAATTACCAATGGTCTTCTGCGGTGCGCTTTAGTCTTATTGCACAACGTCCTTGATTATTGGTTTTAAGGCCAGTGTTGTTTCAGAGTGTACTTTACAACATTTTCTTCACCATTGACAACATTACGCACGCTGTGGTAGAATTGAAACTACCTGGATCCATGGATGGTAGGCCGTGTGATTTCCATCACTATTAGCAATA